GACCCTGTGTGTAATATGGAGATTAAGGGGGGGGGGACACACCTGTGTGTAATATGGAGGGAGAGAAGGGGGGGGGACACCTGTGTGTAATATGGAGGGGGAGAGAGAGGGTAGGACCTGTTTGTGTAACGGATCACCTGGCACCCCGACTGGGTACCTCCGTTGATGGATGCTCCTAGCACTTCTTGAGGATTCAAAGCACTCTAGTCGACACCACAAGCTGAACCGCTCTTCCTTCAGAGCAAAGCAGGAACTAGCTCTTAAGTAATTATAGCAAGGGAATATGCAGAGCATAGCAATCCCTTTTATTATTATATTTATAGAGTGCCATCAAATTCCGCAGCGCTTTACAATGGGTGGACGAACAGACATGTAGTTGTAACCAGACAAGTTGAACACACAGGAACAGAGGGGTTGAGGGCCCTGCTCAATGAGCTTACATGCTAGAGGGAGTGGGGTAAAATGACAAAAACGTAAGGATAGTATTAGACTAGTGACAGGAGTTAACATTTTAATTGATACACTTTTACGAAGAAGTGGGTTTTTAATTATTTTTTTGAAGGAGTGGAGACTGAGTGAGCATCTAACGGAGGAAGGAAGCGAGTTCCACAGGAACGGTGCAGCTCTCGAGAAATATTGAAGGCGAGCATCAGAGGTGGGAGTACGGAGAGAAGATAGACGTAAGTCTTCAGCAGATCGTAAGGGCCTAGATGGGACATACTTGTGTATAAGAGAGGATAGATATGTGGGAGCAGCACTATGTAGAGATTTGAAAGCAAGAACCAAAATTTTAAATTGAGTTCTATATTTTATAGGAAGCCAATGTAGGGACTGACAGAAGGGTGAGGCATGGGAGGTGCGGGCGGACAAGATGAGCCTCGCCGCCACATTCATTATGGACTGTAACCATGCAAGTTGAGAGCATGTAAGACCACTGGGGCAGGCGACTTACAGTGACTTATTATAACACAATGGCATATTTTTAAAGGGGTGGGGGAGACCATATTTAACAGAAAATCTCACTTGCCTTCAGAATTAGCAATATGCAAATCTACCCAAATATGCAAATGAACCAGTCTTGCTATTCAGGTAGTGCATATTGCCGTTGCTACCAACAGAGGGCACTAGACCAGCTCCATAGCCAAACCCATCTAGTTGGTAGCAAACCTCAGCAGTACAGGAGAGCAGGCAATACATCCCAGGGGCCATAGTCACATGGCAGGAGGCTCGCAATCAGTCTTCTCCAATGCCCATGTTAAGGATGAACCTTAACTGTGTAATATGTTGGGGGGACTGTGTAATATGGAGAGAGAGAGGGGGGCTGTGTGCAATATGGAGAGATCGTGATATAGTTGTGTTTGGAGATAAAGGGGCTGTAATGTTGAAGTAATAGTGACTTTGTCCATATTATGAATGGAACTGGCCTGTGTGTGAGTGTTTAAATGGAGGTAATTAATGCGTGTTTAGTATAGATTGGTTGTTGGGGCATCCTGTGTAGCGCTTGATGCCGGAATATCTATGTATACTGGTAGTGCTGTCCATGTATTCAAGGAAGATCGAGGGACACCCAGTGCAGCCTCGGTTGTGAAAGGGCTGTCACAGTTTGGTATGTTGTGTAACATCCTAAATAAAATTCACTTTATTTAATTATGCAGAATGTGCAAATGTCTTAGGAGGATCAATGCACTATATATGTTGTACTTCATAGCCTTCGTCTGTACAGGTGGTCCTCACTTAAAGATCTACCTTTTTTTTTTATGGTTCTCACTTGCAACCAGCTCTAGTGTGGGTATTCAAGTGATTCCCCACCTTAGTGAACTGGTCTATCTTTGGGGAATTTTCCCTGAACATAGATTTCAACTATTCCTTGCGCTAGTGAACTGATCGGTTTGGGGGAAGACCTGCTCTCTTGCACATGCTGGCTAGCACATCCTCACTTACAGACCCATTCGTTTTACGACCGGGTCGTTAGAATGGAACCCGGTCGGTAAGTGAGGACAGCCTGTATACATATCTGGGCCTTGTGAGGGACAAGTGGGATACCGTTACGATATCTTGGAATTTTGCAGCGAAACTAATCCTTATGCATTTTGTTTTTCACAGGTTTATCCACGAGCAGTACATCTGTAACAGACACACACACACATCTCTATCTTCCTGTCTTAACCAAGAGGAAATAAGTGAATGTATTAATGTACCAGAATTCTCAACGGGGTATAAACCTGGGATATGCAATTGCCTGAGTAACATGTCTGTACAGCCAACCTCAGAAGGAAATCTCACAGATATGTATAAATCCACAGAATATACATCCATACACATTGAGGAACCAGTCTCATGTGAAGAAGGAAATCTTACAGTCCTTTCTGCACCCAATGAACATCCATCTAATCATGTTAAGGATGAACCAGCCTCATGTGAAGATGTTCCTCAATCTGTAACAACTTTTGGATTTCCTGAGTTTCCTTCGAAGAATTCTGTAGTTAAATATGAAGCAACTGACCCAGAAGAGAAACCATATTCCTGTCAGGAATGTGGAAAATGTTTTAACCAGAAACAAAATCTTGATCTGCATCTTCATCTACATCTAAAACGGCACACTGAAAAGACCACATATTCTTGCCCTACATGCGGAAAGTGGTTTAGTTGTCAGTCAGTTCTTGCAAACCATCAACGAAGTCATGCATTACGGAAACCGCTTGAGTGTAAAAAATGTGGCAAACTTTTTGATAGTTCTTCCAAATTTATAATTCATCAAACTGTCCACACAGGAGAGAAACCTCATTCATGTCCAGAATGCGGGAAATGTTTTTCCCGGAAATATTATGTTGGCAAGCATCGTCAAACACATGGAGCGAAGAAGGCCTTGCCAAATCCTAAATGTGAGAAAACATTCAAATGTGTGTAATATGGAAGGAATTGGGACTGTGTGTGAAATGTAGAGGGGTTTGTGTACTATGCATATAATACAAAAGGAACAAACACTGTTCGTGTAATGTGGAGGGAAGGGAAGCTGTGCGTGTAGTGTGGCGGAACACGGTGGCTGTGATTGTAGTGTGGAGGGGCATGAGGGGGTATGTTCCTAGTGCGCAGTGGCATGGAAGACATGTCCCTAGTGCAAAGGGGCTGTTCCCCTAGTACAGAGAATCATTAAGGGGTGTACACTGTCCGTAGTCTGAAGGGGCACTTAGAGTTGCCGTGTCCTAAGTGTGGAGGTAATTGGGGCTCTGTATTTATTGTAGGTGAAACAAAGAATGTGACGGCAGGTAAGAACCATTCGGCCCATCTAGTCTGCCCAATTTTCTAAATACTTTCATTAGTCCCTGGCCTTATCTTCTAGTTAGGATAGCCTTATGCCTATCCCACGCATGCTTAAAGGACCACTCTAGGCACCCAGACCACTTCAGCTTAATGAAGTGGTCTGGGTGCCAGGTCCAGCTGGGGTTAACCCATTTTTTTTCATAAACATAGCAGTTTCACAGAAACTGCTATGTTTATGAATGGGTTAAGCCTTCCCCTATTTCCTCTAGTGGCTCTCATTGACAGCCACTAGAGGCGCTTGCGTGCTTCTCACTGTGAAAATCACAGTGAGAGCACGCAAGCGTCCATAGGAAAGCATTATGAATGCTTTCCTATGTGACCGGCTGAATGCGCGTACAGCTCTTGCTGCACGTGCGCATTCACCCGAAGAGGAGGAGGATCGGAGGAGGAGGATCGGAGGAGGAGAGCTCTCCGCCCAGCGCTGGAAAAAGGTAAGTTTTTACCCCTTTCCCCCTTCCAGAGCCGGGCGGGAGGGGTCCCTGAGGGTGGGGGCACCCTCAGGGCACTATAGTGCCAGGAAAACGAGTGTGTTTTCCTGGCACTATAGTGGTCCTTTAAACTCCTTTACTGTGTTAACCTCTATCACTTCAGCTGGAAGGTTATTACATGCATACACTACCTTCTCAGTAAAGTAATACTTCCTAAAGTGTGTGGTTTTTTTTTTTTTGTTTTTTTGTTTTTTAAACCTTTGCTCCTCTAATTTAAATCTCTGTCCTCTTGTTGTGGTAGTTTATCAATATCCTTCTGAAGATACGGTCTCAAGTACTGTGTACAATACTCCAAGTGAGGTCTCACCAGTGTTCTGTACAATGGCATGAGCACTTCCTTCTTCCTACTGCTAATACCTCTCCCTATACAACCAAGCATTCTGCTAGCATTTCCTGCTGCTCTATTACAATGTCTGCCTACCTTTTAAGTCATCTGAGATAATCACCCCTAGATCCCTTTCTTCAGATGTTGAGGTTAGGACTCTATTAAATATTCTGTACTCTGCCTTTGGGTTTTTACGTCCAAGATGCATTATCTTGCACTTATCCACATTAAATGTCCGTTGCCACAATTCTGACCATTTTTCTAGTTTACCTAAATCTTGTCCCATTTAGCTTATACTACCTGGAACATCAACCCTGTTACATATCTTCGTATGTATATTGAATGTATCATTAGCAAAAAGACAAACCTTACCATCATGACCTTTTGCAATATCACTAATAAAAATATTAAAGAGAATGGGTCCAAGTACAGATCCCTGAGGTACCCCACTGGTGACAAGCCCAAGCTTCGAATATATTCCATTGACTATAACCCTCTGTTGCTGTCACCCAGCCACTGCCTTACCCATTCAACAATATTGAAATCCAAACTTAAAGGGACATTCCAGTGCCAGGTTAACAATCAGTTTTCCTGGCACTGCAGGTCCCCTCTCCCTCCCTCCCAGGTTGCTGAAGGGGTGAAAACCCCTTAAGTGACTTACCAAAGTCCAGCGCTGATGTCGCTCGGTGCTGGCCCAGGGTCCTCCTCAGCCGCTGGGGGAGACAGACTGCGTGCGTGGCCGCCGGCGGGGGAGTCCTAATGACCTCCCCATAGAAAAGCTTTGAAAATGCTTTCAATGCATTCCTTTGGGGATTTTTAGACCTCCACATTGAAGATGCTTTCCTATGGGGATTTTAGCTACGCTGGAGGTCCTTTACATAGCGTGAGGACGTCCAGCGACGCTATAGCACAGCTGAAAACCTGTGCTATAAACCAGGAAGTGCCCTCTAGTGGCTGTCTAATAGACAGCCACTAGAGGAGGAGTTAACCCTGCAATGTAAATATTGCAGTTTATGAAAACTGCAATAATTACACTTGCAGGGTAAAGGGTAGTGGGAGTTGGCACCCAGACCACTCCAATGGGCAGAAGTGGTCTGGGTGCCTCGAGTGTCCCTTTAAAGATTGCAGTTTGATAAGCCTTCTATGTGCAACAGTGTCAAAAGCCTTACTGAAATCTAGGTAAGCAATGTCTACTGCACCACCATGATCTATAATTTTTGTTACACAATCAAAAAAATCAATAAGATTAGTTTGGCATGATCTCCCTGAAGTAAACCCATGTTGACTCTGATCTTGAAATCCATGTTTTTTTTAGATTTTCAACAATCCTATCCTTTAGGTGTATTACTTGCATGTGTCCTCTGTGTAGCACTGCATGGGAGCTCTGTATGTATTACAGGGGGATAGAGGGCCATCCAGTCGTGAAGGGGCAGTCACCGTTCGGGATGTTGTGTAAAAATCATGCATAAAATTCACTTCGTCTTGACGTTAAAACTGCAGGATGTGTAAATTTCTGGGGATGACTAATGCACTGTATATGTTGTACTTTATAACCTGTGTTTATATACAAATCTGAGCATTGCAAGGGACAAGTGGAATACAAAAATTAGCCTTCTCTGTACATGTAATTTTGCAGCAAAATGAATCCTTATGTATTTTATTTTTGACAGGTTTATCTAAGAGCAATACAAATCTCTACCTTCCTGTCAACAAAGCAGAAATCCGTGAAGGTATCAATGTATCGGAATTCTCAATGTCCTATAAAGCTGGGATATGTATTTGCCTGATTAACATGTCTGTACAGTCCATTTCAGAAGGAAATATCACAGGCATTCCTATACCAACAGAATATCCATCTACTCCTATTAAGTATAAACCAGCCCCATGTGAAGAAGGAAATCTCACAGATATGTATAAATCCACAGAACATGCACGCACAGAATATCCATCTACTCGTGTTAAAAATAAACCAGCCTCGTGGGATGTAGGATATCTCACAGACAATTCTACACCAACAAAATAGCCATTACTCATATTAAGGAGGAACCAGCCTCGTGGGAAGTAGGATATCTCACAGACAATTCTACACCAACAAAATAGCCATCTACTCATATTAAGGAGGAACCAGCCTCGTGGGAAGTAGGATATCTCACAGACAATTCTACACCAACAAAATAGCCATCTACTCATATTAAGGAGGAACCAGCCTCGTGGGAAGCACATTTTCCACAATCTGTAGCATCTTATGGATTTCCTGACATTAGAAAGTTTTCTTCGACAAATTCTTTAATTGTTAAATATAAAGAAACTCCCCCAAAAGAGAGAACCTATTCCTGTCATGAATATGGAAAATGTTTCAACCATAAATCGCACCTTGATGTGCAACTTCATCTACATCTAAAACTGCACGCTGAAAAGACCACGTATTCTTGCTCTGTGTGTGGGAAGCGGTTTAGTTGTCAGTCAGTTTTTGCAAACCATCAACAAAGTCATGCATTATGGAAACATCTAGCATGTAAAAAATGTGGGAAATATTTTGATAGTTTTTCCAAATTTCTAGTTCATGAAAGTATTCACAGGGGAGAGAAACGTCATTCCTGTCTAGAATGTGGGAAATGTTTGTCCAGTAAATATTATGTTGACAAGCATCATCAAACTCGTGCAGCAAATAAGTCATGGTCGAATCCTGAATGTGAGAACACATTTAAACATATGTGTGTAATACAGAGGTAAAGGGGGCTGTGTGTAATGTGGAGGCAATGAACACTGTATGTAACATCAGTGGAACGGCGATATGATTTATGTGTAATGTGGATTGAACAGTGGGCTGTTTGTGGATAATGTGGAGGCTGTGTGTTTGTAATATGGAGGTAAGTAGTGCTGTGTGTTTAGTGTTGGTTGCAAGGGCCTCATGTATAGCACTGGTGGGGGTTGTCTATGTATTACAGGGGAATCGTGGGCCATCCAGTGCAGCCTGGGTTGTGAAGGGGCGATCACACTTGGGCATGCAGTGCATAAATGCGAAATAAAATTGACTTATCTTCAGTTTAACAGTGCAGAATGTTTAAATGTATTGGGAGAATCAATGCACTTTATATTCTTCATTTATATACCAATCTGGGCATTGTGATAAGTGGAATACAAAAATTTGCCATTTCGATATCTTGGAATTTTGCAGCAAAACTAATCCTTATGCATTTTATTTTTCACAGGTTTATCCACGAGCAGTACATCTGTAACAGACACACACACATCTCTATCTTCCTGTCTTAACCAAGAGGAAATACGTGAATGTATTAATGTACCAGAATTCTCAACGGGGTATAAACCTGGGATATGCAACCGCCTGAGTAACATGTCTGTACAGCCAACCTCAGACGGAAATCTCACAGATATGTATAAATCCACAGAGCATTCACTCACAGAAATTACATCTATACACATTAAGAAGGAACCAGCCTCTTGTGAAGAAGGAAATCTCATGAACTTTGCTACATCCACAGAACATCCACAGTCAGAATATCCATCTATACACATTAAGGAGGAACCAGCCCCGTGTGAAGAAGAAAATCTCACAGACATTTCTACACCCACAGAATATCAATCTATTCATATTAAGGAGGAACCAGCCTCGTGGGAAGAAGGAAATCTCACAGACATTTCTACACCTACGGGACATCCACATGTAGAATATCCATCTACTCATATTAAGGAGGAACTAACCTTGTTTGAGAAAGGAAATCTCACTGAGGAACCACAGACAGAATATCCACCTGCTTGTATTAAAGAGGAACCAGACTCTTGGGAAAAAGATGTTCCACAATCTGGAACGTCTTATGGATATCCTGACATAAGAAAGTTTTCTTTAACAGAATCTATAATTGTTAAATATGAAGCAACTCCCCCAGAAGAGAATCCATATTCCTGTCATGAATGTGGAAAATGTTTCAACCATAAACAAAATCTTGATCTGCATCTTCATCTACATCTAAAACGGCACACTGAAAAGACCACATATTCTTGCCCTACATGCGGAAAGTGGTTTAGTTGTCAGTCAGTTCTTGCAAACCATCAACGAAGTCATGCATTACGGAAACCTCTTGCATGTAAAGAATGTGGCAAACTTTTTGATAGTTCTTCCAAATTTATAATTCATCAAACTGTCCACACAGGAGAGAAACCTCATTCATGTCCAGAATGTGGGAAATGTTTTTCCAGTAAATATTATGTTGGTAAGCATCGTCGAACCCATGTAGCAAAGAAGTCACGGTCAAATCCTGAATGTGAGAAAACATTTAAGCAGGAATCTGGTCTTGCATCACATTTAAAAGTTGATTCACTTTAGAAATGTTTTTTGTTTTTATTTTAAGTTAGGAAATCATTTGTGTAATAATTTTGGCCAGAGAAACTGGACCTGGCCAGTTTCAGATAGATTCATGTTTTGTGAAATTTTAGTTAGTTGACATTAATTGGCATGTTGAACCCAGTTCAGTGAATTTCACACTTTTTTTTATTTTAGTTTTTATGCAAATCACTGATAAGTCTCTGATCAACTGATTCATGCTCTCCTTGCCACTCACCCAAAATGACTTATCCCAGCGTTTATGGATATTCCTACTATTCTCCAACTTGTAAGCTCAAATCTAGATACACAACTCTGACTTACCTGAACAGCTGTAGCCTAATGCCTGAGCTAGCAGCTAGCATCTTCATGCCAAAAATGTCCTCTGACTCTAGATTACTATCCTGACCGCAGTATCTGGCAAGACAATATTACTTGAGTCATCAAACACTTTATTTTACAAAAGATCATTTACTTTATTAGTTGACTAGATGTACAAGTTAACCTCAACAGTAATATTGACTAAATGTACCTTCAAACTGAGAGAACCGTATATCCCAGCCACTTTTTGATTTGTGCCCCGGATCCATAGTCCCTCTTACTGCTTTGCACTAATGTCAATTTACCAGATCCCTATTTCCATCTGATACCTTGCACTGTCTTGCGGACAGAGAATTCCTGTGTGGGGACAGACAATATAAAAACACCATCTTGATCAGTTAAATTTAAAGTATTCCTTGATCCATTGTCTTGGAGCACGCACTACTAATAAACTCATGATTTGTGTTTAATGTCAGGAAGTACATTTATTTTTAAACACTACTGCTTGGAGGAGGATCTTTACTGCCTTCAAGACTAGTCTGTAAATGGACACATGCAATTCCTGAGGCTGGTTTTCTGTAGAGTTTTAATAAAAGGTACATGCAGGCAATGCGGCCCACCGGCCGCGGAACTAAACAAAGTTGATTTGCTTTGCCGCAGTGCCGGGAGGAAATGATTGCAAGTCACTTCCTCCTGGCGTATAAAGAAGCTGCGCGGGAGAAACCAGATAGGAGTCTCCGTTGGCTCTTATCACAACCAGCCAGCTACCACAGAAAACACAGGGAATCTACCTCCCTGAACCAAAAAGGTATGTAGCAGATATTGTAAATTGGGATATTTTGTGTAGATTTGAGTATAACTGTTTTTTTCATCAGTGAGTGTGTGTGACCAGAGTGTGTTGTTAGTGTGGGTGCGTTACATTAGGGTGTGTGTTGCCAGTGTGCGTGTATATATATATATGTTTGTCGGTGTGTGTTTCAGTGTGTATGTGTGTAAATCACAGCAAACGCCAGCTCTACATACAAACATATTAATAACACTAATCATATCTACAACACAAACATTATATACAAGTACACCACTACTTTTAAATAGTACATTTAAATATACAACTGCATTCAAAATCCAACACTTCACACAAATTCATACATATATACGCAAACACAAACTCTGCTCAAAAATGCAGTTCTGGAAGGATGGCTACATGGTAGATCCGCACCAGGAAAAGCATTGTGGGATTTGTATAAGAAATGGGGATCTATCTGCCTTTTGACCATGCTTGCACTAAAGGGGCCCAAAGAAAATTCTGGAACTAAGGCCCTCTCTTTATTAGTTCTGCCACTGGATCCCATCAATAATTATTAATTTGTATTTGTGACTCAATTGCGCGGTGCTCGAGCGCGGACTGCATAGGACAGGTAGAAACAATGAAATACTGTGTAGGGAAGGAGGTAGTGCGTCGGGAGGTGGCAGTGCAGTGCTAACGCCGCAACCTGCTGCACATGTCAGCTTGTGGCGATTTGCCACAATAGATAATATTTGAACCTACCTAAACGTGTTCTGTGATTAGAGGCGTTTATTATTAGCCATGTAAGGTTTTTTTTTTTTTTACATTTTATAATGAAAAATATAAAAAAACAAAATGTACTTTTTATTACTTGTATACTTTAACTATAGTATATATTTTATATGCAGCCCCCCAAAAATTCTCAACACTCAATGTGGCCCAGAGAAGCCAAAAGGTTGGACACCCATGCTTTAGTGGTAATGTAGCTTAGAATTTCTCTCTACACCAGTAACTTGCTTCTTTAAGGGCAAATGTTTTGAAGTACAAATAAACAAAATGGCATTGTTTTTGTGGGAGGGACACTCTAGGTACCATAATCACTTCATGACATTGAAGTGCTTATGATGCTTGGAGCCCTCTTTATTAAGTTGTAAACTATTTTTGAGTGGTGTAAGAGCAAATTAGGATCTCCTGGCATCTGGGATTTCACCCTCTGTTCTTGTTTTGGCTCAGTCGAGTGTAATTCCATGCCGTTCTATGCCAATGATCACTCCTTGCCGCCTGCAAATGTTGAAAACATTACCCAACCAGTAGAGCCCAATGACTCTCATTTAGTTAATCGCCATGAAAATGTCTTGGTGCCATAACCCTTTTGTTTTAACCCTGCAAGTTAAAACATTGATGTTTTCCAGGTCACTAGAGACAATTCTGCAGAAACAGCCAAGTGAAACTATTTCAATCACATGCTCTTAAAGAACCATCTGACTTGCACAGTGTTTTGCTTTACATGTGCACTATCCTCCTTCCTATGGGAAACCATTTCATTGATGATCAGAGCCTAGGAAACAGGTCAGCTGCAATGAAAGCAGCATGGCATAAAAAGGAAATAAATGAAATCTTCCTATCCCATGCATGTGGTAGCAGCTAAATGATGACTAGAATATTACTAAGACTATAGTATTCTTTTTAAAACTAAATGGAAAGAGGTGCCGGGGGAAGCCACTTGCCATAACTAGTTAAGTCAGCGGTTCCCAAGAGTGAACTCTAGTGTAATGGTTCTGATCAGGTCAGATAACAAGAGACTTCTACCGGGGTTAACTTTAGGTTTTTTTATTTGAGAGCTTTGACATGGTTAGTCTTGAAACAATAAGAGTAGCAGGACTTAAAGGGAAGTGGAAATAATAAAGACAAAGAGAGAAAGCAGAACCTATAAACGAAATTACAGGTAAGTATATTTAGGGCTATATAATAGCGTTTTAGGCGATAAACGGAATTATAGGCAAAAAGGTAGAATGAGAACCTATAAAGGAATTATAGGCAAAAGGTAGAATGCGAACCTATAAACGGAATTATAGGCAAAAAGGTAGCATGAGAACCTATAAAGGAATTATAGGCAAAAAGGTAGCATGAGAACCTATAAACGGAATTATAGGCAAAAGGTAGAATGCGAACCTATAAACGGAATTATAGGCAAAAAGGTAGAATGAGAACCTATAAACGGAATTATAGGCAAAAAGGTAGCATGAGAACCTATAAACGGAATTATAGGCAAAAGGTAGAATTAGAACCTATAAACGGAATTATAGGCAAAAAGGTAGAATTAGAACCTATAAACGGAATTATAGGCAAAAGGTAGAATTAGAACCTATAAACGGAATTATAGGCAAAAGGTAGAATTAGAACCTATAAACGGAATTGTAGGTTAGTATAATGAAAGATTACAGAAATAGGTGGTTTAGGCAATATGCCTGAGGTAGGTTATTCAGTAACATAGCTTAGAAGTGGTATTACAGGTAAATAAAGAAAAGGGAAACCTAGAACTGAAATTATAGGTTACAGGTAAATAAAATACTACTAGTCTGAACCAAACCGAATATCAAGGATTAAGTAATACAAGTTAAATGTTTAGTTGATCAGCCTCTTTGGTTTGGAGGCAGAACTGCAGTTACAGATAGTTATAACAGGGTCTTTCAGGATAGTTGCAAATATCAGGAATGTCTGTAATATCCATTTAGGTTGCATAGTTTTCGGTAGGTGTACAATAGTTTAGAAATCAAAGTCCTGTATGGAATAAAGCAGGTTGGTATTGAAGATCAGGATTGTCCCAGAGCTTATTGATTGTAAGCAGGTTGGTAGGATAAATCAGAATGGGTTCATTAGTATTCCGAGTAGAGCAGGTTTTCTCCATATGAGCCAGGATCAGAAGTATTTGCTTTAGCAGGGTATGGCTTCTTATAGCAGATTTAATGATCATGCTATGCAGGTTAGAGGGACAGTGGATTAGACTAGTGGCTGAGGAGGCCACTAGTGGTGGAAAACTTGAATTGTAGGAATAAATTAAACGTAATTCACTCACCACTTGGACCACCAGGGTTTAGTACTGTCCCTCCTCCCAGGTAACGGTAAGAAAGAAGGGGGGATATGAAAATATATATATATATATTTAAATTAAAAAGTGTATATGTTAATCTGCCCTCCTACGTCCACAGACCCACATTAACTGTCCCTCCCCCCCCACATCCATACACACAAACTATGCCTCTCACACATACACTACATCCTTCACAGATTACACCCTTCACACACTTACTACTGCCCCTATCCCATAGTACATCCCCTATCCTGACGGATCCCAGGTAAGTTGTCAAACTGTTCTTAAGCACTCCGACTACTTACCATGGGAGCGCACCATAACCACAAAAGAGTGCTGTAATAGTTATTGTGCCTGGATTGTTCTGTATATGCCCCCTGACCGGGAAACATTGCTACTAAACAGGGGCCCAGTATATGCTGCAGTGCTGTACATATATACAATTCGGATTGAAGTACGCTACTACTAAAGAATCCTAGGTGGGGATTGTACCACCTGCGCCATTATATTGAGCAGCAGTTCCTGCTCATATACATGTGAGTATTTTACCATTTTATTTGTTTTTTAAATAATACAGTGAGCACTATATACGTTTCTCATCTCTCCACATATCGAGGAATTTTTAAGGATCCCATCATCTATATCCGACCAGTGGGGGATTGACGCCACTGAACGCTAAGAACACTTGAGCAAGTTTTTTTGCTCATTCAAAGGTGAGTTTTTTACCTACTCACAGATTTATATCTGACTACTTGTCGACATTCTACACTATTGGAGTTTTTCTTATCTCTTCCATGTATCCACATATCTACAAGTGAATCAAGACATCTCCAACATAAGAAGCTTCAGATACTCATTTGGACTTTATATTCACTCAAGAATTATACAGGTCTATTTATTACTTGGGACTTTTTATTATATTTATTTATTTATTTTACATCACCTCCCTGTCCCTTCAGCGCGACCTATATACCAATTTCTGTGTGTACATATATACAACCTAGAAATTTGTTTTGATTTGGGTTGCCTTGGAAAGATATTGAAATGTTAAGAGCGCCTTGAACCTAAAAAGTTTGGGAATCACTGAGTTAACCTTCTGCGAGCTACTTGACAAAAAACACAATTCTGGCACCTAAGACTCGCCCTTTTCTGCTGTTAAATATGGATATTTATTCCATTGTCGGTGCATATCTATCCAAACGTGGACCGCAGTGATGCAATTTGCGCTCTTGGCTAAGCCACATTCTCCCCTGCTTACAGACTCTAATTACCATCTGGATATAGACAGATAAATCTGTATCTGTAAAATAGATAATGGTCATGACTTGCCTGACTCCAACTCGTGACCATTTGTAACATAGGTAATGGGCACAACCCGTCTGTCTCCAACTCCTGACCATCTGTAACATAGGTAATGGTGCATGATTTGCCTGATTCCAACTCCTGACCATCGGTAAAATAGTTAATAGCTCACGACACGCCTGGCTCCAATTCCTGACCATCTGTAACATAGGTAATGGCGTAAGACTTTTTTTGGTTAATCAAATTTTTATTGAAGTGTGAACAGGAGAAGGTTTAGGCTCGCAGGCCCATGTCAATAATGCAGAATATGTACATATTGTTAGTGCGGCATATGCCCAAATCGAATTTACAATCAGATTCAGTATACAGCGAGTATCATTTTTGAATTTTTCAATTATAGCGGTGTTTCTTAAAATAAATTTCCATGTTGTTTAGTTTTGATACTGTATGTATCCGCTTGGGCCCTTCATGAATGAGATCAAGGTGGTTGTATTAGCGTCCGTCAGTGCCTTGAAGTTGCACATTTACAGGCGTTAATCTTCGTTAACATTTGTCGGTAAATGGAAAAAATGTGGTGTGATGTATTGGAGTGTGTGATAGGATAAAAGGGTCATTGCCTGAGTGGTGATAATATGTTAGTTTAGTGTGGAACATTTGGTACAAGTGGAGTTCGGAGACGATAGTGTGGGTTATAGAAAGTTAAATTATATTGCATTAAGTATATCCCCCATTGTGTGGTTGTCCATATGTGTGTTCCGGACCTCGGTGCGTTCGTATCACGTTCGTCTTTTTCCAGTACACCAGTATGAGCGACTTAGCCGCGTTCAACAGGTGGCTCAGCATTGATTTTTTGTACTTGGATAACGGTTGTGAGGAAATGTGTAGTATAGCTAATTCTTCTGACCATTCAGTATTGTTTCCGAGAATCAGTTGAATGTCTGATTTGGTCTGGTTCCAGTATGGGGTGATATGGTTGCATTCCCACCAGATGTGCCGGAGTGTCCCTCTCTCTTCCTGGCATCTCCAGCATGTTGGTGGTGTTGTTTGAAAGATCTTGTGTAGCAATACCGGCGTTTTGTACCACATGGCGATCAGCTTATAGTTAACCTCTTGGTAGTGTTAGCTGGAGGAGCTTTTATGTTGCCATATCAAGGCTTTGTCCCATTGGGTCGATGTGAATGTTTTGTCCATAGCTCTCTCCCATTGCCGCTGGAATGTGTTGTTCTCTGAGGAGGGTCTGGTCAATAGGTTTTTGTAGAGGGTCCAGACAGCTTTTCCAAGCGAGGTTGCTCGTAGGCAGAGGTCTTCAAACCAGGTTAGATCTCTTTGTAGCTTTTCCTTGTGCGGGAGCGAGTTATAATAGTATGTTAGTTGCATGTATCGGAGTACCGTCATTGGAGATCGTAGTCGGCCCTCCAATAGTGTGTCTAGTGTCTTCACGTTGCCTTCCCGGATAGCTCTGCATACAGATATGTAATCTGCATCGCCTAGGAATGTCCAGGCTTCTGTTGGTAGACTGCCTCCTATGTCGGGGTTGTGTGCTATTGGCAGTAGTGGGCAAGGGGTCGGGGAAATTTGCGGTGTCTCCCTGATGGTTTCCCATGTGAGTAGCGTTTGTACCACGGGATCCTCGTCCCTTCTCCCACCGCCCCGAGTCACTCGTTTTCTCCATATCAGTGCCTTTAGTTTCGGTGCGTTCCCTCCTTGATCTAGAATCACCCATTGTTTGGTCGTTTCCGATTCGTGCCATTCCAAGATTGTAGTGTTGTAGCCTGGTGGTATTTTTTTAAATCTGGCAGTGCCAGCCCTGTGTCTGGGCATGCATAGTAAATCGTGGCACAGTCTGGATCTTTCCCCTCTTCATATATATTTAATGACCGCCGATTTCAGGGTCAAGAAGAATTTCGCTGGTAGTGATATCGGTATGGTTTGGAATAAGTAAAGTACTCTTGGGAGGACATTCATTTTGAGCACCGCTATGCGGCCGTGCCATGTGATGTGTGGGTAGGCCCATCTTTTCAAGTCTAATTCGATTTGCTGCAGGAGTGGGGTGAAATTGAGTCGGTATATCTCCTGTGGGTTTGTGGGTATCCAGATGCCAAGATACTTCATCGCCCCTGTGCACCTGCGGAACGGGAAGAGTGGGCCAAGGGATTCATATTCTACCGTAGGTATAGTGATGTTCAACGCCTCGCATTTCGCCAGATTGAGCTTGAATCCTGATATCCGGCCGAATTTATCTATTTCCGACAGTAAACAGGGCAGTGTAATCTGTGGTTGGGATATAAAAAATAGGAGATCGTCCGCGTATGTGGCCACTTTATGCTCAGTTCCCTGCCATGTGTAGCCGCGGATGTCTTGATGATCCCGGATTGCCTGTAAGAGCGGTTCCAGAGACAGGGCGAACAAAAGTGGTGACAAGGGGCATCCCTGTCTGGTTCAGTTTGTGATCCCAAAGCTTGTAGTCAATGCCCCATTAACGCACACTGCCGCCCTAGGTGTGCTATACAGGGCGGATATCCATGCCATGGTCCCCTGTCCTATGCCCATGACCTGGAGCGTTCGGGTCAGATATGTCCAGTCAACCCGGTCAAACGCCTTCTCCGCGTTAGGTATTACATGCCAAGGTGTCCCCCCTCCGCTACTCTGTTGATTGCCTTTGTCAACTTTGGTAATAGTAGCGTTGCAAAGTTTTTGTAGTATCTAGTGGGGAACCCGTCCGGGCCTGGTGCTCTTCCCGTTTTCGTGCTTTTCAGTGCTGCGGCTAGGTCTTCCACGTCAATTGGTTCGTCGAGCATGGATGCAGCCTCTGGATTTACTCGTGTCCGCACATTATCCTGTAGGTAGGCCTGTATGTGCTCTGATGAGTCTCGTCTTTGAGTTGGGTTCTCTGGTGAGCGAAGGTTGTAGAGGGAGTTGTAGTAGTTTTGGAATTCTCCGGCTATCTCTTCTGGGTACTGGGATGTTCTGCCCGATGATAGGCGAATTTTTCGGACCTGTGTGCGCGGCGTGTCGCCTTTTAACAGGCGGGCGAGGAGCTTCCCTCCTTTGTTCGCATGAGTATAGAAAACATTTTTAGATCTCTGAAGCGAGCAGAGGTATCTCTGCATGAGGAGGTTCTTCAGTTGTCGCCTGGCCTCCATTAGTTCCCCGTAGATTTTGACTAGCTGTGTGTAGCTTATCTAGCGTCCCCCAGGGAAATTGTGCTTGTTTTGAGTTGGGTACGTATATAGTTGCAAACGTGTATACTCTCTCAGCTATCACCCCTTTGATGAGCACGAACGTTTCCTCTTCGTTAGTCATTTTGTCCAGTTCCTGGAAGCCTAAGTCGGCCGCCAGCAGTATTGCAACTCCTGCACGGAGTGCCTCCGGGTGGTTGTTGCAATAGCTAATGGGGTGGTAGGTGCTTCGGAGTTTGGGAGTTGCGCCTTAAAATGGGTCTCCTGCAGCATTGCTATCGATATGTGTTTGTGTCGCAGTACTCTCAGTAGGTGAGAGCAACGTTCCGGAATATCCAAGCCCCTGCAGTTGAGTGTCATGATGGACATGGGGGTATGTTGGTACGCCATTGTCCCCCCTCCAGCCAAGTGTGCCTGCCCGCGCGAGGCGGGAGGTCGGTCCGACGGTGCAGCCCAGTGGGAGTGAGTATGCTACTGTGAAGTGTGATCTCTTGCCCTAAATAGGCCTATGTAGGGTTGGGTGTCAGAGTGTCTTGTCCGTCACCGTCTGTTTATGGGTCGGTGTGTAAGGTAGTGGTGGAAGGTGTTGTGTGGGGGATTGTGCGCGTGTGTGTATGTGTGTGTATAAGCGGGAGTGGGAGAGGTGTGTGTCACCCCGAGATCTCCTCTAAAGAGGAGGGACACTTGCGTCCCAGCAGGAGTTGTCAGGTGTCGCACCGATAACCGGATCGGTGTTTGCCTAGAGCTCCGCTGAGAGTTTCTTGCAAGTGTGTATGTAGAGTTATGGTCGGAGTCTAAGCCAGGAATGGTATAGTGAGTGTATTGTATGTGAGAAGGGTTCTGGTCTGTTCCGCTCCGACCTGGTCCCCGCCCTAGTATGAGCGTAAACCGTGTTACATCAAATCTTTAGCTTTGAACATAAACATAAACGTAAATAACTTTGATAATAGCCAACATTCTTGTGATCCCCGTCGGCCCCCCAGGAGCTTCCCTCCATTGTGTCCCCCCCACCCTTTCTCACTGAGCCAAGTGTTTACCCCCACTTGCATCCCCTTCCCTCCTCTCTAGGTGATCCAGGTTAACCAGCACATTTATGACATTGTGGGTAATTCGTCTAAACGCATCATATAAGCTCGGGGCTAAGTCCCTATAATTTCTATATTGGTAACCTTTCCTATGTCTTATGTCCTTTGCAGTAGATTTTTTTTCCTCTCTCCTTTTCTCTTCCTCGTCCCCCTCCTCCTCTTTCTCCCCTATCCCCTTTTCTCCTTCCTAACTATCTGTTCACTACCGTCATTCCCAGGTTACTCGTTATCATGTTCCCACCATATTTACAACACAACAGGTATTCTCATGTGTCCATCGATACTTGTGTATCACTATAATGATTGATACTTATCAAGACGAAGGGACTTTCTTCTCTGGACATATCTTTGCAGTACATGTCTGAAGTCCCGGATTGCTAGTTAGAGTGTTTTGTCCCGTTATGTCTTTGTGTGTACCAGTATGAGTAGATATCTGGGGTCCCGCATTCGTTGAGGGGAAGTATCACCACTGCATCTCCCTGTCTCTCGTCCCTCTTCTCCAAAACCACCTCAGGGTTCCCCAGCAGTGTATTTGAGGGGGGGGAGAGAGAGGGTGGAGTGCGGCTGTTGTTGATGTCCCTGGTGAGGGTGTCTTGGGTCGCTCTCCATTCAGGGATGTCCCGTGTGTGGTTAAGTTGTGCTGGTAGTGTGTGTTTCCATGGAGAGGGAAGAAGATGCCGTAGGACCCCGTGTCTCCCTCCCAAATTCTGTGTGCCCTTTTCTCCCTTCAAGTGGTGAGGTTCGGGATTGGGGTTAGCGTCTCGTTAGGGATAAGTGACCCAATAAAACCGTTGGTTCCGTCCCATTAGAGCTATGAGTAGCGAATTAATAGGGCTTTTTAGGGGCCAGTGGAGCAGAGCTCACTGCTTAAGCGTCCATCCTGGTTGACATCCAAGCCACGCCCCCGTAATGGCGTAAGACTTGTCTGACTCCAACTCCTGACCATCTGTAATATAGGTAATGGCGCACGACTCGCCTGGCTCCAACTCCTGACCATCTGTTACATAGGTAATGGCGCACGACTCGCCTGACTGCAACTCCTGACCATCTGTAACATAGGTAATGGTAAACGACTTGCCTGACTCCAACTCCTGACCATCTGTAATATAGGTAATGGCACGCGACTCGTCTGATTTCAACTCCTGACCATCTGTAGAGTTAGTAGTGGATCACAACTTGCCAGAAACAAAATGTTTTTTAATTTAATTCTTTATTTTGTTGTGCATGAGTGTAAATACAGACAGCTTTGTAATGCCACAACAGCATCCACAGGTACATAAACATAGATATTAAACTGGTACATGGCTTCAGAAATTCTGCACATTTTTACATTTTGTAGGAAACATGCTAAGCATACATGTCTAGATGTAATTGCTAACTATATGAAGATGGATATTGTAGAAAGACTTGGTAGGCAAAATATATCAGCACATTTTACCACCTTAGACTGCCCTAGAGATATATTGCATTTTTAGCAGGAGAGTGTAGCGGACCACCTGGTTACCCGACCAATTACCTTCTCTAGTTCCCTTCCATCAGCCAATCAAGAACTCTTGCATGGTTAGGGGACTTAGCTCTATGCGCTCTCAGGGTTGGACGGTACTCAGTCAGCAGACACAGGGGTTAAATCTTCCTTCCAGTAACTAGACAAGACACAGTTCTGGAGGTACAAACTCTTACAATCTTAACAGATAACCATCTCCCACCCTGGGAGATACCAATAGCACATACAGTTACACACATTAAAACACATTACATATATGGGGAAACACTTAAGGGCTTGGCGCCCAGGTAAAGGAAAGGGTTACACATGTAAGACACGAATCACTGGATAGCCCCAGGTTCCATCTAGGGTCCCTGTTCCAGGAATTCCCTGCTGGCACAGTCTCTCTACCCCAACAATGTCCCCACCAACCTCAGGGACTCGTTCCTGGAGTCCCGGTGTGATGACCCCGCAAGGGAAGTGTTTCCTTTCGGGATACAAATGCTCCCCCAGGGTGGCATTCGCCTATACGAAATGGCGGCCACCCAGGGGAGCATTCATGAATTACTTCCCTTGCGGTTTCACACTTATGTTGTAGGTGTGAACATTCTGATTGGTTGGTTGGTGTGAACATTCTAATGGGGTAGTGGGGTGATCCACTTTCAGGAGGCGAACGGGCTCTGTTCGCATGAGTGCTAAAGAACGGTCAACAGGGAAAAATACACAAAATGTATGCAAATACAAGGGGAAACTTGAAGAATAAACAGTGGGAACACAAACAGGAAGCATAGCGATAGATTGTAGATAAGGAAATCAGTAGTAGTGTATATCAACTAGAAAACAATATTGAGCATGGAGGAATCGGTATACTGGGGTATATCAGGCAACCAGAGGCTCAACATTTCAGTTACCCTTTTCCTATGAGCCTCCGGATCAAGTAGTTGTAGCCTTCACCGCAGCTTCTGCCAGAAAGCTTAAAATAGTGCTACCAGGCGGTGCATAATAGTAGGTGCCTCACTGCAGGAATCCAGCACCCACCATTTTAGATGTACATCTGTCAGTATCGCTGTCTTCTGGGGCACATCCAGAGTACCTAGCTAGGGTGTGGGAGCATCTGGGGTGGGGACTGGATCACCCCCGCCCGTCCAAAAGGGGGGGGGGGAGAAGCAGGGCATCAGTTCTGTTTTCGGATCCCAGCCTGTGCTGGGCAGGGAAATCATCCGTCTCTCCCTCCGTCAGCACACACTAGGCCACACAGGCAGTTGGCGTCTGGAGACCGCGGGTAGCGCACCCAGACCTGTCAGTCGGTTCCTATAACAGAAGGTATGTTGCAGAGTGCGAGAAAATAGTTGAAACAGCAAGTAAATAGGCTTGTTGAAGTAGAAAACAATATTACCAGGTTCAATAAAAGCGTTTTAATTAACCGTTAAAATACACAGGTAGCCCCGATCTGGGTGAGCAACATATCCAAAAATCACCCAGATCGGATCAGGGGTTCAGGAAATTTGTGGAAGTGAAGAAAAGACCGACCGCGCTGAAGAGAACAGCTGAATCTGGTTCCATGCGATGGGGCCCTGGGGTCGGTCACCGTATAAGGGAACAAAAAGGCATGACATACCAAAGTTACAGAGATCAGGGAGGGTTCGCTTGAATCCCTTGTTCGGTTGTTTCTTTCTACCGAACAAGGGGCCATTCGGTGGTTTGGAAGCAAACGTACCGTGCGTATGAAGGTCTCAGCGGTGTTCGCCTAGCCGAGTGTCCGATTTGGGTTCCAGACACTCGACAGCAAAACACCGTGTTCGTTTCCCGAATGGCGGCCACCCCGAGAACAAAGGACCGACTGCGTGTCATGCAGAGTGTTGACAGCAAAACAAGATAAAATGCAGGATGATGGATCACCTAATCAACGCGTTTCGCCCCTCTTAGTGGGCTTTTTCAAGATAGCCCTAAGAGGGGTGAAACGCGTTGATTAGGTGATCCATCATCCTGCATTTTATCTTGTTTTGCTGTCAACACTCTGCATGACAAGTTTTTATGCTAACCAGAGGCAGAATTACAAAGAGGAGAACTTTTACTGAATCCACAGCCAGCCTCAGTGCACGAGGCGAACGCTCCGGACGGCATCCTTGAAGCAGAGGAGAGATAAGACTGCAGCCAGATAAGCTTTTATTGTGGTCCTTAGAGATAAGCATCACATTTTTCTTCTGTAAGGGTTCCTATGTTGGGGAAGGGGATTCCATTGGTGTTTTAAGACATTAAATACAGTATTGCACTATATATATTTTCTGTCTTTTTTAAGGGATTCAAAGTCAAAGATTGTGTTCCCAAACAACTCTGTGGACCTCCTGTCACTTTGGACCCTGCTACATATTTTATACTGGACTGAGATACAATTTAGATTTTTTTGTTACAATCTGATTGTTACTATCAGTTATATTGACACTCTTAGCACTATATGCTATTGCTGTTTCTAATTATTATAGATACATTTGTTAAGACCTTTTCCCCTGATTATATCTAAGGGGATTATTCACTAAGCGCTGACAACACAATATCTTACAGTTTATTCATTGAATTTGGGAAGTTCTTTTTTTGTTTAGCAGCTATTATCTAGAGGTAGTTTGTACCATTCTCTTATAAGTATTATTGTATATCTTTTTTGTGCGCTCTCTTTCACCCTTTTATACAACCTATTTTATACATACAATACTGCAATTTAGACGAATACAACAAAACACATGAAATTTCCAGGACAGCCCAGTGTCATCCGCTTCAATCAATATATATATATATATAGGTGGCTCAAAACTGCCCTCTACAGGAGTACTCCTTTTTGTCCTGAAGCATGAATGTGGTGTGTCAAGAGTACCTTGGTGATGGTCATATATTATGTATATGGACATAATAACCTTGGCTAGGGCACATTTACTTATTCATTATCATATGAAACCTGTCACATGCTATCTCAGTACAGATAGACTCAGATAATTTATTCAATATTAATATCACCACAAACTCAAAATGGGCAGATGATCCTGAAGAAGCTTCTGGACGTGAGGGCAGGGCTTAGTTAACAGGCCACTCTGAGGAGTGTCAGCTACACCTATACAGGAGACAACAGTATCAGATAGAAATGAGGAGTCCGGTAGGATTCTCTTCCGCTATCGAGGCCGCAAATAGCCTTTAGGTACGGGACTTGTAATATACTAAAGCCCAAGTAAGAGAAAATTTGGAACAACTAGGAGTGATACTTTCCTTTTCACCTGTTGCAACAGGTGATCTAATTATACCTTTTCAAATAAACATATATAACACCTGGAAGGGTTAATTCACAATGGCATAAACTCTTTAGTGAAAAGAACACCGAGGATAAATGTATCATCTTCCAACAAATATTAGAAAGGTACATTTCTCAGTATGTACCACTGGGAAATAAATATAAAAGAAACAAATTAAAACCAATGTGGCTTAGTAGAGAAGTAGAGAAGTAAAACAAGAGATTAAAAATAAGAAAAGGGCATTTAAAGCATTTAAATAGGACAAGGACCTTCAAGGACACTTGTACTTGCCACTTTACTTGCACTCTACAGTTCAGTGCTTTTTATGGACTTAAATAGCCATTAGGCTATTGGACTTTGCTTCTTTTTACCCCTGTGTTTTTAAGAGCAGTCCTTTGTTTTGATCATCATTTTATATCCAATAAATTCTGTTTTAAAGAAGAATTCACTTCTCTGTTGTTCCTGAGACCTCCAGAATGACCAAAGGAAGGACAGGGATGTCCTACAAATAGTCCCACTGCAAAACTCATGGGAGCCATATGATATTATTTGGCTCCCGGCTTGTGAGTATATGATCTTTACCATCTTCCTATTTTATTACATATTTACTATATTACACTATATGGTTTTATGTTCTTATTTTAGGAAGTCTCTACAAGTGTGATCCACCATTGTATGTATTTTATATGTTATTGTTAGAGTGGTTTGAGGGGTTCCACTCAGCTGGTTACAACAGTTTCTGTTGTCACACTATATCACTTTATCCACTGTATTTTCCTTACTTGTTAAGTGTAGAAATAAGTGAACCTCTGTTTTTAATCTTTCAAGATTCTTTTTTTTCAGGAAGTGTTCCGGAGGATTGGAGGAAGGCAGATTTGGTTCCTATGTTCAAAAAGTGTTCAAAATTCTTGCCTGGAAATTATAGACCTGTGAGCTTAACTTCTGTGGCTGGTAAAATATTTGAAAGGTTATTAAGGGATAATATTCAAGAATTCCTTGAGAAGAACATGGTTATCAGCAAAAATCAGCATGGTTTTATGAAGCACAGGTCATGTCAAACTAACTTGATTGCGTTCTACGAAGAAGTAAGTAGAAGTATAGATCAGGGTGTTGCCGTGGATGTGATCTATTTGGATTTTGCCAAGGCATTTGATACAGTTCCACACAACAGATTAGTGTTCAAACTCAAGGAAATCAGTCTAGATGAAAATGCTTGTTCTTGGGTAGAACATTGGCTTAAAAACAGAGTACAAAGAGTTGTCATTAATGGTAAATTTTCAAGCTGGACAGAGGTGGCAAGTGGTGTCCCTCAGGGGTCTGTTCTGGGACCCCTTCTATTTAACATGTTTATAAATGATCTTGAAGACCGCATTGAAAGTCATGTTTCAGTGTTTGCAGATGACACAAAACTTTGTAAAATAATACAATGTGAGCAAGATATTACTTTGCTGCAAAGGGATTTAGATAGACTGGGGGACTGGGCACTCAAATGGCAGATGAAATTTAATGTTGAAAAATGCAAAGTTATGCACTTCGGCGTAAAGAATACACAAGCAACGTATACCCTTAATGGAAGCGAATTAGGGATAACAACACACGAAAAGGACTTGGGAATTGTTATAGACAACAAACTATGCAACAATGTGCAATGTCAATCAGCAGTGGCCAAGGCCAGTAAGGTATTGTCATGCATGAAAAAGGGCATTCATTCTCGGGACAAGAATATAATTTTGCCTCTTTATAAATCACTGGTAAGACCCCATATTGAATATGCTGTGCAATTTTGGGCACCTGTTCTAAAGAAGGATATTATGGCACTAGAAAAAGTGCAGAGGCGGGCTACAAAATTAATAAAAGGAATGGAACATATCAGCTATGAAGAAAGGTTAACAAATTTAAACCTATTTAGTTTAGAAAAACGTCACCTGAGAGGGGATATGGTAACATTATACAAATATATTCGGGGCCAATACAAACCATTGTGTGGAAATCTATTCACAAACCAGACTTTACATAGGACACAAGGCCATGCTTTTAGACTGGAAGAAAGAAGATTTTGTCTAAGGCAAAGGAAAGTTTTTTTTACTGTACGAACAATAAGGATGTGGAATTCTCTGCCTGAAGAAGTGTTTTTATCAGAGTCCATACAGATGTTCAAACAGCTACTAGATGCATACTTGCAGAAACAGAATATTCATGGATATAATCTTTCAATGTAGGGTGATAGCTTCTTGATCCAAGGATAAATCTGACTGCCATTCTGGGGTCAAGAAGGAATTTTTTTCCTAGCTTGTTGCAAAATTGTGCTTCCAACTGTTTTCTTTGCCTTCTTTTGGATCAACAGCAAAAAACAAATGTGAGGTAGGCTGAACTTGATGGAAGCAAGTCTCTTTTCAGCTATGTAACTATATGGTATGCGTCCTACAGAAATGTAACTTTCCTCAATCCTGTCACGATCCGGGAACCTAACACGCTAACAGGTCACAGGAAGGTAGGGTGTTATACCGATCCTTTAGAATGGCCGGGTTAAGCACACTAAGAATAGTCAGGAGACAAGCCAAGTAAAGGAAGCCAGAAAACAGGAGAACGAGAAACAAGCCGAGGTCAAAGGAGTGGAGAATACAGGAAAATCGGAATAACGAGGCAAATAATCGGTAACCAGAGAGCAACACGAGCAAACTGCACTACAGGTAACACAAGACCACAACAAGGCACTGAGAGACTGGAAAGGTAAGTATATAAGTCCTGTGCTTAATTCTGATTGGATAACTTCCAATCAGAATTAATAATCACACGTGGGAGATATCTATACCTCCCACTGTGATTAGGGTACTGTGGCTTTAACGCCGGGTCACGTGAGTGACCCCGGCGTTCACACAAATGCGGGGACTCCCAGCGTGCAGCGTTACACATGCTGCCGCTGGGAGGCAAGGAGGAGGACGTGAGCGGCGCGCAGAGCAGAGAGGATGCCGCTCGCCGACAGGTAGGGGAAGGGGAGACCGCCCCCCCCCCCCCTCGAGGACCGCCCGGTAGGCGGGAAGTCGAACGCTTCAAAGGAAACCGTGCATGAAAGGAGCGGATCAAAGAGGGCGCATTGAAATCAGAGGCAGAAACCCAAGACCGCTCCTCAGGGCCGTAACCCTTCCAATCCACCAGATACTGCAACCGACCTCGAGAAAAACGAGAATCAAGCAGAGCAGCCACTTTGTACACATCACTGGAGAATGCGCGGAGGGAATCCGGACGCCTGAGAGGAGCAGAGAATCGATTACAGAGCAAGGGCTTCAAAAGGGAGGTGTGAAAAGTGTTAGGTATACGCATGGAAGGAGGCAAGGCCAGAGAGTAGGACACGGGATTCACCCTACGCAATACCTTATAGGGGCCAAGGAACCGGGGCGCAAATTTCATAGAGGGAACCCTGAGGCGGAGATTCTTAGAGGACAACCAAACCCTATCACCCGGGGCATAAAAATGAGCCGCACACCTATAACGATCAGCAAATCTCTTCTGAGTAGCAGCTGCACGGGAGAGAGCAGCATGGACCTGATCCCACATCTTCCGCAAGGAGGCAAGGTGCTCGTCCAAAGCGGGCATTCTGTCAGGATATTTATATCGGCAGACATTTTGTGCTAAGAAAGAAATTAAAAGTGTATATTGCCAGAGTCACTCAGAACAGAGCGGACTCCATTTTGCTATCTTCAGGATAACAAAGACACATAATTTCCTTGCTTTCACTAACCACTGAGCCTGAGCTAAGGAATGCATTATATAAACAAGCCAAGTGATAAGCAATGAAGCAGGGGGGTGGAATGCTCTGTTTAAATGTTAATGGAATAGATGTAATTTTAAACACAGACACTAGTGACAGAGAAGACTAAGTAATTAATTTTACTTTCTAAATGTTACAATTGTAAGTAAGGGGTGAAATTGAGTTTAGAACTGTCAGTTTTACAAATTACGATCAAAGTAGTTGCCACAAAGAAAGAGACAAACATCAGATTTGGACATGCAGAGAGATCCAGGACACTCTAACAACTAACTCTCAAACTCTCTTGGACACAACTCAAGGAACACAGTTCCTTGACACTTAGAATTTTACTCTGACTTTCTAACCAACATCACTTTTCTCTATTACTCGCACACCTCCATACAACCAATCAAGTTTCTGGGACTACCTACTCATCTGATGAGAATATCTACATAACTGGTAATTATGCTGGTTTTATTTAATTAATTTAAATTAATTAAAATTTACTAATAGCATGATATATGACTGGATAAATCACGGTCAGGTTTCAATATTTAGAAATCTTAGTTAACTAAAGAATATATAGTTATAAACATTCCATTCTGCAGGTGGAATTAAGAATAATTATATATTAATGTGATAGTATCACGTGTTAGCTGTTTTTATCCAGGTGTATTGATTTGCTCTAAAATAAGATAAGATATCTTTTTAGGCAAATTAAAATTCGGCTTTTGTAAAAATCTGGTAGATTATTCTTATTGGATGGTTCCAGGAAATGATTAATGAGCTGGTTTGTATGTTATTTTAATGGAAAATTACATAAGAATAGGATATTATATGCCTAGGAGTATCTAGCCAGCATTGAAAGGGTTACTCAGTTGATTTAACTGTTAGCCAAGGTTCTATGGCCTTTCGCTGTGTGAAGCTTTACTCTCTGTCTGTGAAGTACCCTCATAAATCTTATTAAGTGACAGGTGATGCTGTTAGCCATTGGAACGTGTATAGCCATTCCATTGTATTGCATACTTATGTTATACTAAATATTCACTGATTATTATCATGCATGCTGCCTAATATTATTGTTATTTTATTTGTCATAATAAATTAAATCTATTTTTATAACAAATTGTGATTTTATTTGTATGGAATACATTTCACTTACATGATAACGATCTCTGAGATCTAAGAGAATTGAAATAGTGGGCAATTCTCGACTGTTTAATATTATCATCCCATAAACATCCCCACAATTCCCTTGTCGGAGAACACACCGGGAAGGACAGAACCCATAAGCAACCATAAAAGGACTTAAGCCAGTGGACGAATGAGTCACGGTATTCCTGGCGAATTCAGCCCAGGGAAGGGGATGAGACCAGTTGTCCTGGTGTGCACTAGTAAAGCAGCGTAAATATAACTCCACAGATTGATTTGCCCGTTCGGCAGCTCCATTAGATTGTGGATGATAGGAGGAAGTAAATGACAAGGAGATCCCCATCTCAGCACAAAAGCCCCTCCAAAACCGAGAGACAAATTGAGGACCCCTGTCGGATACGATATCCTGAGGTATACCATGCAAGCGGAACACCTCTTTGGCAAATACCCGAGCCAACTGAACTGCAGAAGGTAGTTTTTTAAGGGGAATAAAGTGTGCCATCTTAGAGAACCTATCAGTCACAGTCAAAATTACTGTCTGTAATGAAGTCCATGGATAAGTGGGTCCATGGTTTCTTGGGTACAGAAAGGGGCATTAGGAGTCCCGGGGGTTCAACGTTAGGGGATTTACACTGTGTGCAAACATGACAGGCCTGCACATAATCTACCACGTCTTGTTTAAGTGAGGGCCACCAAAACTGTTGAAGGAGACCCTTGTATGTTTTGGTAACCCCTGGATGACCAGCAGTTTTGGCGGTGTGAAATAAAGCTAATAACTTCTTTCTGTCTTTTTCTTTCACGTATAATCTACCAACAGGTGTCTTAGAGGGTGCTTGGGATTGGTATGTCTTGATACCATCAAGGAAAAGAGACGAAATAACCAAACGGGTAGCAGCTATTATCTTGGATGTAGGTACGATGGGTTCAGGAGCAGGGGCAATCGACTCCAAAGGTTCGTACTGTCTGGAGATAGCATCAGCCTTGACATTACGGTATCCAGGCCTATATGTGGCCTATAATGAACTGAAAGCGTGAATGAAATAAAGACCATCTAGCCCGACGAGAGGACAACCTTTTAGCATCTGCTATATACAGGGAGTGCAGAATTATTAGGCAAATGAGTATTTTGACCACATCATCCTCTTTATGCATGTTGTCTTACTCCAAGCTGTATAGGCTCGAAAGCCTACTACCAATTAAGCATATTAGGTGATGTGCATCTCTGTAATGAGAAGGGGTGTGGTCTAATGACATCAACACCCTATATCAGGTGTGCATAATTATTAGGCAACTTCCTTTCCTTTGGCAAAATGGGTCAAAAGAAGGACTTGACAGGCTCAGAAAAGTCAAAAATAGTGAGATATCTTGCAGAGGGATGCAGCACTCTTAAAATTGCAAAGCTTCTGAAGCGTGATCATCGAACAATCAAGCGTTTCATTCAAAATAGTGAACAGGGTCGCAAGAAGCGTGTGGAAAAACCAAGGCGCAAAATAACTGCCCATGAACTGAGAAAAGTCAAGCGTGCAGCTGCCACGATGCCACTTGCCACCAGTTTGGCCATATTTCAGAGCTGCAACATCACTGGAGTGCCCAAAAGCACAAGGTGTGCAATACTCAGAGACATGGCCAAGGTAAGAAAGGCTGAAAGACGACCACCACTGAACAAGACACACAAGCTGAAACGTCAAGACTGGGCCAAGAAATATCTCAAGACTGATTTTTCTAAGGTTTTATGGACTGATGAAATGAGAGTGAGTCTTGATGGGCCAGATGGATGGGCCCGTGGCTGGATTGGTAAAGGGCAGAGAGCTCCAGTCCGACTCAGATGCCAGCAAGGTGGAGGTGGAGTACTGGTTTGGGCTGGTATCATCAAAGATGAGCTTGTGGGGCCTTTTCGGGTTGAGGATGGAGTCAAGCTCAACTCCCAGTCCTACTGCCAGTTCCTGGAAGACACCTTCTTCAAGCAGTGGTACAGGAAGAAGTCTGCATCCTTCAAGAAAAACATGATTTTCATGCAGGACAATGCTCCATCACACGCGTCCAAGTACTCCACAGCGTGGCTGGCAAGAAAGGGTATAAAAGAAGAAAATCTAATGACATGGCCTCCTTGTTCACCTGATCTGAACCCCATTGAGAACCTGTGGTCCATCATCAAATGTGAGATTTACAAGGAGGGAAAACAGTACACCTCTCTGAACAGTGTCTGGGAGGCTGTGGTTGCTGCTGCACGCAATGTTGATGGTGAACAGATCAAAACACTGAAAGAATCCATGGATGGCAGGCTTTTGAGTGTCCTTGCAAAGAAAGGTGGCTATATTGGTCACTGATTTGTTTTTGTTTTGTTTTTGAATGTCAGAAATGTATATTTGTGAATGTTGAGATGTTATATTGGTTTCACTGGTAATAATAAATAATTGAAATGGGTATATATTTGTTTTTTGTTAAGTTGCCTAATAATTATGCACAGTAATAGTCACCTGCACACACAGATATCCCCCTAACATAGCTAAAACTAAAAACAAACTAAAAACTACTTCCAAAAATATTCAGCTTTGATATTAATGAGTTTTTTGGGTTCATTGAGAACATGGTTGTTGTTCAATAATAAAATTAATCCTCAAAAATACAACTTGCCTAATAATTCTGCACTCCCTGTAGGAGAGATTCTTATGGTCAGTTATAACCAGGATTTTGTGTCTAGCTCCTTCTAATAAGTACCTCCATTCTTTAAAAGCCATCACAATAGCCAATAGTTCCCTGTTCCGACGTCGTAATTCTTTTCCGAAATCAGACAGCCTTTTAGAAAAGTAACAACATGGATGGAGGGTTTTGGTATGCGATTGTCTTTGTGATAACATGGCTCCTACACCTGATTCTGAAGCGTCTACTTCCGTAACAAAGGGAAGGGAAGGATCAGGATGGTGTAGCACAGGGGCAGTGGCAAATGCCTTTTTGAGAGTCTCGAAGGCTTTAACGGCTTCAGGAGTCCAAACCCTGGGGTGCAAACCTTTTTTAGTCAGTTTCTTGATTGGAGAAATAACTGATGAAACGTTTTTAATAAACCTCCGATAATAGTTGGCAAAGCCTATAAATCGCTGTATTGCCTTAAGGCCTTGGGGAAGAGGCCAAGACAATATGGCTTCTAATTTAGAAGGATCCATGCTGAATCTCTGTTCAGAAATGACATACCCTAGGAATTGTACTGATTTTTGGTCAAATAAACATTTCTCTAATTTGCAATAAAGACCGTTCTGCAACAATCTCTTAAGTACCATCTGTAGCGGAGTGCTACTATTGCATAGCCTATCTCCACTTGTAGATCCCAGTAAGGCTCAGGAACAAGTAATTATAAATCCATATAGCAAAGTCTCCAGCAGGCAAAACAATACAGCAGTATCCCAACAGCACTCCCAATAACTGGACGACACACAGTATCAGGAGCAGAACTAAAGATTTATTCACAGCAGCTCCTTATAAAGGATTCTCCCATGCAAGGGAGGGATTTACAGTAATTACAACAGTAACCAATGATACAGAGGTTCCCTCCCCTACTTTCCCTCCACTCAGAGTGACACTTAATCCACTTAATCCTGGCACCTTTTCCCCTGTTTCTTGGATGTACCCTAAAACCATGGGGTACCAGGATTTAAGTGGCATCCCCTGGTAGCCCTGATCTGAGTGACCAACATATTCAAAATTCACCCAGATCAGACCAGGGGTTCGGGAGTTATAGACAATAAACGGTCTTCGTTCGGGAGATGAAATAGACAGAAATCCTTGCCATCCATAGAGAATACCGGGTTCGCATGAACTCCCTTGTTCGGTATATTGAACTCACCGAACGGGGAGTCGATTAGCCCCTCCGTTCGTGAGTTCTGGAGGTCTCAGTGGTGTTCGCGCAATCGAGTGTCCGATTTGGGTTCCAGACACTCGACGACCAAACACCGCTGAGAGTTTGTGCGTAAGATGGCCGCAGCCACGTGTTCGTCTACCGAATGGCGGCCACCCAGATACATCAATAAAACCTCAATTAGCTGCGGTTACAAAGGGAATAAGGGTTTAACGAGGGACACACTTCGTCTCTAAGGTGGTCTATGCATTCGGTAGTTTCCATTCGTATAACTATGAAGGAAACTACCGAACTAACATACGAACTTAGATACAATTTTCAATATACATTCAGTTAAAACAGGCGAACAGTCTTTTAAAGCATAATTCTGGCGGATAGTCACAGGCCATCCGCTACACCATCCTCACATGAGTATGGTGTGACTTCAAATCAGGAGAATATACAAGTATGTCATCAAGGTAGACTACAG